AGCCAGCAGAGATTCGCAAAAGAAGCTTCTGTTGCACACGCACTAATATAGATACCAAGTTACGAGAATTTCAGGACGACTTCTAACTGATTACTACCAAGGGTCAGCACAGGAGGCAGTCCGTGTCAGCCTTCGAGGAAGACTTTTCATTTCGAGGATGCAAAGCATAGCCTGAGATGACTGACAGTCCTAATTTATCTAGTGCTGCTTGGCACGTTTGGGAGTTGTCACAGATGGGGGGCAACGTCGTCAGAATACTCCAAATCAAGAAGTCGTTCACCAGGAAGTAGTTGCACACCTTCTAAACCGCATCCAGCGAATAACATTTAGATATATTCGTCGACAGTGAAGTTAAAAAATGAAAGTTGACAGCGGGCAACCTTGTCTCACACCACTGATGATACTGAAGGACGGCGACAGTGTGCCACAAACCCTCACTCTGCCAGAGGTATGTACGTAAAGCGCCTCGATAATGTGTATATATTTACCGGGCATGCCTTTTCTGAACAGACAATTACAAAAGGCACACTGATCTACCGAGCCGAAGGCATTTTTGATATTGTGGAATACGACCACAGTGGGTCGCCAGTAAATATGACTGTATTCCAAAAATTGGCTTAAGATGTGGTCAATACAACTGCGAATTCGAGAAAATCCAGCTTGCTCCTCACGATCCTGACTTTCACGAGTGTCAGTCAGTAGATGGCCGACGACAGAGGCAAGCAATTTAAAAGCAAGTAAGATCAGACTGATACCGCCATGATTTCCGCAATCCCAAACATGAGCCTGCCTTTAAGATTGGGACTAGAATGGAGCGGCTCCAGTCTGCTGGGACAGCCTGCTGCTCCCAGAGCTTCACAAGCAAATTATGCAAATCATCTGAAATAGTAGGTCAAATGAAACTGAAGAGGGTTGGAAGAAGTCTACCTGCTCATCTCACGTTAAGTCTCTGCGTGTGTGGGTGGATCCAAGGGGACGGCCCAGGGAGAAGAACGATAAATAGGCAATAAAGAAGATGGTAATTGTGGCTGATCAAACTGCTGTTCAAATCACTAGGCAGCACTACAGTATCCGTACATAACCTGTAACAAAGAAGTGCATTAAATTTGGTGATGGACGTCGTCTTTCACCGAGTTAACGCTACAATTTTTGGCTGTACTGAGAAACAGACACGGATTGTGCCCATCGACTGCAATGCTCTGAATGAATCAGCCGATATGAAAGGGTACATCCGGCTGTTGACTGGGATCCAGTCGATCAGGGTAGCTTCAGCACGGGACTCAGCAATGCCCAAACCGCCTTAACCGGCATTTGAAACTGCGCCATCTCCGGACAAGCGCAATGAGAAAGTGCCCCCAAGGTGGCATATGGGGGATAGCAGGGTAATCACAGAGCTCAAATATTGTAGGACGGTTTCCGATAGGCAGCAGATATTGATCGTCAGAATCACTAGTTTTCGAGCACGTGCTACCTGTTGGCCAATTTGTAGCAAAATCACATTAGGGTTAAAAGGTTGATTTCAACATGGGGTAGAGTAGGTCTGTAGGACGTATACTGTATGACGATTAGCTGCAAATGCCCGGTATGAAAACGGTGGATGTGCTGTTGAAGAGAGTGGTGTGCGAGAACGACAGGAAGTTCGATGTTTACCTACTGCGAATCAGAGTGCTCTTCATTTTGAAATGTCAAGGATCGTGCATAGTCGTTCATTCGTGTTAAAACCGAATGAAATGGTAAATTTGGGAGAAGTAACACAAACATTCAGAGCTAGTCACGGTTGATCCGCAAGATGCAGATATCCTGCTGATGAAAACGTCCTCGAAAGAGTCTAAACAAACCCTTCGGAGTGACCCCGTCTATTGGTATGGGTATATAGCCCTAAAAGAATAGCGTTTTGCGGAAGTACCAATCGCTTGCTTCCACAATGACTCTTGACGTATATGAACTGACAATAATTGATCAATTTCCCTGTTTTGGAAGCCACGTTACAATCGACGTATATGAACGCGAATCAGCTCACCTACCGCGAAAGCAAGAGGTACATTGATGGAGCTGCAACATCCGCGCCACAGGAAGGGTGCGTCACTTGATTTTAAAACCGTGCTGGCATGAAAACGATGAGAATCGCTCCCGTCTATAGCGGTTCCTTTAGGTCCCTGGCCCTCCTCGTTCAATGAGCGTCAATGGTGTTGGGTGGGAATAGTGCATCCGGGGCGAACAAGTGTACAGGTGCTCATTACAAAATGATGCTCCGAGTAAGTACTGCTGACTCGGACATATGTTAGGAATGTTGTCACATGACTAATTCAAATTAGTGAAGCAAGCTATCTCTAGCTAATGAGCTTGGTCTGCAAACTTCTGGTATCAAACATACTTCGCAGGCTACCCTCAAGTTCGCGAATCGCTAAAGCGGGAAGAGCAGGCTGGGTTCCGTCCTGGTCGCGGCTGCAACTATCAAACTTTCACACCCCGGTAGGCACACGAGCTATTCCACGTGTACCGAGGGCCAAGGATCACTATGCTGCTGGATATCCATGCTGCTTTCGATTCTGTCGATAGGCCTGCATTATGAAATTTTCTGTTGAGGAATGGCATCCGCGGGGAGTTCGTTTCCGTACTGCATACTTTGCACATTCGGACCACTGGTAGATTTAGGACTTATAACAAGCTTTTGCCTTCGTTTGCTGTCACCAGTGGAGTTCGGCAAGGATGCCTTATCACTTTTCTATTTTGCCATTGAGAATGTCCACAAAAGTGCTCTAGAAAATCCGTTGAGCGTGGGTGTTGAGCTCGTCGCAGGTAGCCGAGTTAGTGATGTGGACTAGACTGTTGATATCGTCTTGCTGGGTGACGGTCCACAGGCCGTCCAAGTTGTATGCAAACGCTTAGCGGTTAAAGCGTCAAACTTTGGGATGACTTTTTCCCCATCCAAGTGCAAAGCTCTTTTCCAAGATTTTCTGATGCCTATACCTGCACTTACTCTTGATGATGAGACGATGGAGGTTACAGAGTTTTGCCTAGGTGGGAAGTTGCATCACTGCTAGTGAAGTTGTTGGAAAAGAGATTTCGACGCTTATCTCAAGAGCTCGCCTCACTTTTGCTAAGCTGAGGCCGTTGTGATGCCGCCATGACATCCGTCTATCCATCAATGGGTGCGTTTATTGTGCGACTGTCCGCGCTGTACTAATGTACGGTTGCGAGACTTGGCCTGTTCGTACCGTTGAACTGCGCCGATTGCCTGTTTACAAGCACGGTTGCTTGCGGTTCATTACCCGTGTGTGGTGGGTGCACTATATAACCACTGTGTAGATGAAACAGTAAGTCTGATGTGGAAGCAAGAACTCACTCGAGGAGCTTGAACCGCTGTGTCACTTGTGGTGACTTGGATAGATATTCTGCATGACAGTTCATCGCCTTCCGCATAGGCTTTGTTTCCATTTGTGGGACAGGGGTGGTAAAAGCGGCGTGGTGGACAACGTAAGACTTGGAGAAGCGGCATGCAAAAGCTGACGAAACAGTTGGCTTCGGTCGGATGTTCTCGACTCTCCGGTTGGGATTTCAGAACTACGGAGTGTCGCTGGTTGGAGACCCAGGAAGTCATGGCGCAAAACCGATTTCAATGACGGACGTGCATCCCTGAGTGTTGCAACGATTCTTTTTCGTATTCCACGATAGAACCCACAAAGCAAAAACGCAAAGGCTGTGGACAAAAAGTAACACGTCCTTTTTCTTTTTCTTGTCTTGTTCTTCACTTCCGGCATGATTTCGATGGCCCAATATCTGCACCACAGATTGTGAGCAAAAGCTGATGAAATCAAACGTTCGGAAACAGTCGTGAAGTGCAACATTTTCTGGCAGATGACATCAAAGTTCTATCTGTTGAGATATGACTTGTTTACTGGATGCTAGGACAACGTTACGTCCATGGAAACAGCAATTTTCTGACAGGGGCCGGTAACCACTAGAGTACTTTGGTCAGTCTCAACTTTCCCAACCCATCCTGCACTTGGTTTGAAGACTGGGCAAACGGCCGTAATCAACAGAGATTTGGCTGTTATTGGCTCAAAGTCCTCTGGGTGGTGTGTGTGTGTGTGGTGTGGGGTGTCGAGAATTGTGACGTGAGAGTAAGGAAACGGTTTCATCCGTTAGCCTCCATGCATCCATTTTCGTATTCCACAATAGCAAGGTTGCGCATTTTGCCCAAATTTAGTATAGCTGCACAACGTGATTCAGGACACAGCTGGGCAAATTCGCCGTTAGGTCACAAAGTTTAACCCGGCTGCTAATGACTGTAATGTGCACCAGTACAGAAAGTGAGCGTGACGAAACGTATCAATGGAGTGCGCAACAGACAATATGCATGTCCTCAAACCGTAAGGGAAAATGCAGCGCAGAAAAAAGTGGCGCGAAAAATACGTACACCAGAGTGAAAGTAGCGCACATCAGAGTGCAACGGAATAGGAAGGAGAACCGACGTTGGAAGCGACGGAGACGTACCACTTTTTGTGCCAATAGGTCAGCGTAATTAAGACGCAATCGCTCCAGCTGCTGGGACAATGAGAGTTCGCTTTCCTGGATTGAGGAATATGAGAAGGCACGAATAGTCCATTTATAAAACAGAAAATGTAGGAATAAAGTCGAACCGACTGGGAAAAAGTTCATTCAGAATGAAATTAAGAGCGAAGTAAAGAGGACCGGATCCTGAGTTGAAACGTGATCCAAACGGAACGTCAAGGGAGCTCGGTGTTCCCGCGAAGCTTTCAGATACCTTCAATTCGGCTAGGTCAAACTACTATGACACGAGGATTAAGGTATTGTGGATCCAATTGACACGACTCGTGTCGCCAGAATGATAAAGCGAACAACAACGGTGAGAGAGAATGGGATGGAAAGTGAATACAATAAAAAGCTGGCTTGGAAAAATGATTTAAATTGTTCGGCATGGAATATTAGCGATTTGGTGCAAGAAACCGAATGCAGGAATACCATATGATCTGTGACCGTACTATGTCTGATATGGTACCCAATCTCTGACGTTGTCAGTCCCGATGCCCAAATCCCCTCAGAATCTTGATCTGCATTTCATTCTACTCAGTGGCACAAGTCACAGGGTTCGGATCTTGATGGTAACGATGAATGCGCACTTGACAGTACTTTACACGGACAGCCAGGTGACGTGGCAGTAGAGAGATCGTCGGTGACCTATAAAAGCTATACCCCAAAATTTTCCGGTTAAACCCAAGGTGAAATGCACCGGCTCCGACCCGGAACTCAACGCACTTGATGCGCAGAAAAGACTAGTGATCATTCCAAGTATCCGGAAAAGCTTGACCGTGATACTTAAAATCGGTAGCGGGGGACCTCGGTGAGATCCGTTTCATTTCACTCAGCAACCATGATCCGATTACGCAGACATTGTGATGCTATACCAAATGTAAGCCATAAACGGCATTTTAGAAGCAACAATGATATTAAATTCTGCGGCAAAAAAGAATCGTAAACTCAGTAAAGATCACAGAGGATAGGATAGAAGTATGAAGCAGTAAGATTGCAAAATGGACTTAATCAGTTATCTCAGCCTGCTATCGCTGGGTCGCCAACTGCTGTTGCTTCTTTTGCAGCTTAGTCTCTGTCTCATGCATGGCATGTTCTGCTTTCGTCGCAAATTCAGTCTCCGCCTCCAACTGCTTTCGGATAGATTTTGTATTCCGGGAGGTCTTTTTCTTCGCAACAGCCAGTTGAGATTTGACTGTTTCTTATCGGGACTCCAGATTCTACAAACAGCAAGCAGAGTGATGGTGATCAAAGCAAAGCGCTCAATGTGTGCAGTCCACATCGCGGAAGCCTTACCAGTGTAAGCCAGGTACGCATTCGCCCATACCGTACAGCATTAAAAACTGCTAGCGTTCAATGAAGAGATAATTTTAAAGCACTTGTTGGATGAATGTATTGCAACATGCAACCACAAGCAGGAACGTCATTCAGATTGAAGTTGACTGCAATCAATTCGAGTGCTAGAACCGCATCTCCAGCAGATGTACCGTAGATGTTATCCAACCGAACAGGCCGCAGTACATTGTCGGCTCCGGAATTAGTTGCTTTCTTCAGGCAAAGATAGCAAGCGCGAACACAAGATCACACAGTGGTGGATGACTGGACGATGGTGTCATTTTGGAGTACATGCTATGTGAAGGGTTTGTGAGATGTAAAACCCATTCAACACCGAGATACAAAATGAAGTGGACGCCGGTCCATCCAGTCACTGGGAATGTACCTGATGCAGATACATAGGCGCTGATCGCTCGCAACATTGCCGGCTCGTAGCCTTAAGGATCACACACATGCCTAGTAATCCGAGGGCGCGGATTCGAGCCTCCGTAAGGGGGACACCTGGCGACCCTCGCGGTATCCTTGGACTACCTGCGACTGGCAGCGAAGCATAGGTACCGGCGTACCGGCGTACTCCTGATGCCTTATACCTGGCCCTCAGTGTCAAGCGTTACTGAGTGCGACTCAGTTAGCTAGGGATAGAGGTTTTCCTTGACACCGCGGCTATTTCTGCTAAAGAAATGCGAAACCGGCCCTGAAGTGCACTGTGCTGCGATGGAGTAACACCCGGCACTCAGACGCTCTAGGTTTGTTTGTACACGAAATCAACGAGAGGAGAGAAGCGTCGTTTTAAAAGGCGCATCGACATCATTCGAGAAGGATGGTATGGAAGAACAAAAGTATGTGAAGATGCCAGGAGGTATCAGCAGAAAAATTTGTCCGATTGATTAAGCGAGACAAATGATGATCAGGGCAGCCAGGTGAATGGAGTTTAGGGAGGCGGCATTAAAACGCTAGCAAACCGGGATCACGGTGCATCAAATGAACTGCAGATAACACATACAAAAAGTAGTATCCTGTTAGAAACTGCTAGCATAAATAGGGGAGCTAGTTGGCAAAGTTGGTAAGAATGAAATGTTGTTATAAACGCCAACAGCGGTAACAACCGCAATGGGACATTGCGGGATGTCCGAAAATTTGGCTATCACGTGCACCAGGGAAAAGGCTGATACATACGCCAGACATTAAAAGGTGGATAGGTAGAGATCACAAGCGCCAAACGACTTCGGATATGACTGTGGTAATGAAAACCCGTACGAGATGTCCCACTCCACTAATGTTTCTTCGATAGACTACCAAAAAAGGTGAAGACCGTACGAGTTCTACTAAATCGTCACGTCGATTGATTTCTCATCGGTTGGTCGCTAAAACAGTGAGGGTGATACAGGAGCATGTCAAAGGGTAAGAGGACGACGGTGGCTCAGGAGCAACTGTAGAAACATAAAACGAATATATATATATATATATATATATATATATATATATATATATATATATATATATATATATATATATATATATATATATATATATATATATATATATATATATATATATATATATATATATATATATATATATATATATAGTTGGCGGCATCTGGTTTCTGATTTGGCTGTCACTGTGGCCAGCCACAGGACGCCTGCGCCTACAAAGAGACCATGGGTGGCTTGCGCTGCACCACCCACAGCTCCAACCACGCACCCCATATCCAGTGTAAACCCGAAGGATTAACACCGGGTGACATGTGAATGGGAGCCACGTTTCATCAACAAAGCCGGCCCACACTCCTTCACAGGCAATAACAAGCACGCTGTATTTGGGGGAATCACGCGCACATAAGGCGGTTGCTGGACCGTAGTCCACTCCACACTGAGTGCATGGAACCACTCTTCGAGCCTAACATGGCCACAAGGACCGTGTACCCCGGCCCCTCCAGCAACGACTTACTGTCTCCGGCAGCCAGTATAGACGAAGTAGTGGGTAACAGACAGGTAGGCATATATATATATATATATATATATATATATATAAGCAAAAACACCAGAAATCAATGTTCTGGTGGTCTGTGTGGTACAGACTGGTCCCGGAAAACATCAACAAGGCGCGTTGTGTAATCTCCCTTAAAGCCAGGAGAAACACTGAGTTTCGATTACCATCAAGTAATTGCAGTGCAATACTCAAATTATAGCATTGACCGATCGTGGTGGTTTGCTACTAATGAGATTCGTGACAGTTGCTTTTTCGTTCGTCACCGGTACGTGTGTCAAATTCCACTAAGCCTCCATTGCTGCACGATCTATTGGACTAGTTCCATACTCCATCGGTGAACATGCAATCGTAATACTAACTTGAGTCAATGGCACATCGGCCGTTAAGATCCATACGATCATCAATACCTTAGGGTAATAGTTGTGATGGCAGTGTGGCGGATGGAATCGACGACGTAGCCGATCAGATGCGAATCGAACGGCCTCGGTTATTGGCCGCACCAATCTTCGCCGAGTGGAAGACAGTAGCCGACTATTGTTTAATTTGACCAAGGAGGGAACACTATTGGTGAAACCGATACTGATTGGACAACACACATGAAAGTGCCGCGCGAACGAGCTATACTGTATGTTTCTGATGGAGGGCCTTCGCCCAATAATTCACGACAATGCTGTCCGGAATATTCGTGCTATCTTCTGATTGGCTTCTGCTCGTCAGATCTATCCGAACGATCAGCTACCACAAATAGCGGCACATGATGCCAACGCATTGAAAGGGCTACTTGTAATGCGGAAAGCAAACAGTAGAAATCGCAGCAGACCACATTTCTACTAGTATAGCTTGTCCATGGGAGTCAGAAATAGATGATTGGATGAATAGTATAAGCTCACATAAGCCCCTTGAGGGGTTTCGTTTACTGGTCAATCATGTAACGTCGGCAAATTCGATTCCGAGGAACCGAGAGCGTTGGTAGTGATTGACAAGCAGATAGATAAGTGGACTGACAAGTATATGGGAGAAGACGACTGTAGGTTGGTTAAGAGTTACAGTGGAATCAGCGAGGGATATTTTAATGGGAATAAAACCCAGGTAGTATATTCCACTTCCGATTCGGGGGGTTAATGTTGCGGAAACAGCGCATCAGCGCATTTATGCACTTCGGATCAAATGGCAACAATATGATAAACAATCTGAGGGATGGAATGTAAGGACAGTGTGAAAGACAAAGATACATGACAATGTTTTATGATACGGGACCACTGACCTCGTTACGCTGATGCGAAAGAGTAACCTCCTTTGCCAGGCGGGCGATTTCGTTTTGTAGTGTGCGAAGAAGCACCGCATCTGAATTGTCCGAACGGTGCTCATGATCACCCGCAGTAGCAGGCTCGGAGGGTTCAGGTGCGGACGATGTGGGACTACAAACAAAAAGCGATATGGACCGAGGGAAATGTAGTGGCGTATGGCACTTGTAGATATAACGAAATTTGCTGTGCAAACTACGCCTCCTTCAGGCACAGAGCGCATCATTGCATCAACTGTCTTAGACGCAAAAAATATTATGGATACCCGTTGGGGGAAATGATCTAAACAGATACATCTCCTCTTTCCGCTTTGTCTCAAAAGCGGTACAATGGGTGTCAATTCTACGAAAGATAGTTCGCAGACAACTTATTTCGGGACACTTGGAGTGATTGCTGTAGTAGTTTAGAACCTGGCTGGTGTGTGTTCCCTTCCTGTAAACCGATGTTTGGAACTCTCCGTCAATCATCTTGGTGACCAACACATCTAAGAATGAAGCTGGTTTTACATCTTCGATTCCATCGTGAAATGAGTGTCTTCTATTGCACTGTTGTGCAACTAGTAAGCAACCTCCACTTAACTGCATTTCAGTATCACGAATCCATCGCGACGAGACTGGACTTTAACCTGGTGCGCTGTACGCGCATAGTTCGGGCAGAGTGAGGCTTTATGGTAAACTGTCGCCACCCTTCAGTATCACCAGCGGTGTTAGACAAGGTTGAACGCTGTCACCTTTCCTACTTAACTTCGCAGTTGACGAAGTCATGGAAACAGTATTCGGTGGACATGACCTAATTCCTAGTAAGCGACTTCTTGTGTTGGAGTATGTGGATGATATTGCCCTAATCTGCTACAGCAGCCAAACATGCTAAGCAGCACTGCACCGATTAGCACTGGCTGCCCATGGTTTTGGGCTACGTTTTGATCCATCGAAATGCAATGTACTTCTCCAAGATTGGCAGGGACCTACCACTGCGTTAACGCTTGGTGGTTATTAGCTAGAAGTCGTTCAGGAATTCAAGTACCCGGGCAGCTATAGTAGCGCCCATGGACCAAAGATGAGGTTCCGAACCGTACAGCGAATGCTCGAGGTACCATTGTCAATCTCCGCCACCTGTGGCGCAGACCCGACATTACTCTCGCCCTGAAGGACAGAGTTTATATCACAGTCATCCGTTCAACTCTCTTATATGGTTGTGAAGCCTGGCCCACCAGGTAGAAGGATATAAAGAGCCTGGTCACATTCGATCATCACTGCGTTCGCAGTTTAGCTCTTCTAGTGGGAGCCCCGCGGGAGCAACAGGCGTGTTCGGCTTCGCGTATTTGGTGCAGGAAGAGCGAGTGAACCCCACAGCTCCATTATATCCCGCACCAGGCTTCGATAGCTGGGCCACGTGTTGCGCTTGCCAGCACACCGACTCCCGCGACGTGCATTGTTTGCGCTCCGGGGGTGCGGATGGAAGAGGAGGAGGGGAGGTCAAGCGATGACTTGGTCAAGAGGAATGAAAACCCTCACCTCGCAACTGGCGTCGGTTGGTGCATCGCGACTGCCTGGTTGGGGTCCTAAGGATGATGAACACGTTGGGTTGGACACAGTTGCTGATATGGCGAAGAGGCGGCCCAATGGCGTTTGTGGTGTGAGTTTCTTTGTCCATCCCCCTCCCTTTAGGTTCCCCCTCCAATCCCGATCACATGCAAAACGCATATAATATTTAACAGCACATTTTTGTAGTGTAATTTGTGTAATTTCTTGGTCTCTTATCATTTTGTATTGCGGCACATTAGCCGAGGTGTGTTTCTCACTCTCAGCTAACGTGTACTGATGAGAATGATGATGAGTATCACGAATGTATCGTCAACGTATCAGATTCATAACTTAGGGTTGTTTATGGGCAGCACATTATCTTCCAGTTTGTGCACTGCTCTCGTTACAATTAGCGCAGATACAGGTGAGCCCATTGGTGCTCCTTTTGTCTGTCCATAAATTTGTCCATCAAAATCAAAGTAGGTCGCTACGCAAAGAGCAAGCAGCCTGCAAAGATTTTCAGTCGTCAGGTTTCCGATTGTTTTCTTGCTTTGGTCCAGTCGTTCGGTGATTGTTTGCTTTGCTGTCTGTAAGTTGACAGACGTAAAGACAGTGATCACGTCGAACGGCACCGCTATTTCGTCATGATCCCCATGTATTGTACGCTTTGGAGCTTCTTCAGAAATTGCTGCGCACTATGCATGGAGTGCTCTGATCCAACTGTTAGGTGCTTGAGGCTTCTCCATAAGGATGAAGGACAGCAGTTCGATTGGAAAATCATAAAGGACATATCTGAAATGACAGCGAGAATAGTTAAACAGCACGGTTTTACAGTAGCTCATAAACCACCTGCCACACCGAGGAGAATCTTCTCGAAACCCTAAAGTAAACCTGGAGCCCACGAAAGACGAAATGTTGCGTACAAGATACAGTGGCAAGATTGCTATCAGAACTATGCGGGTCAGACAGGTAGGAGACTGTCAACAAGAATACAAGAGCAAAAAAGGGCTTTTACGAATCACTACGCTCTCTCCCTGGTTTCAATGTATACGGATGAAGAAGGACGAAATTTCGATTGGAATAAAACAGATGTCCTAGTACAATGTGAGAAACGAAAGGAAAGTGTGATCCTCGAAGCATGGTACATCATGGAAAACTCGATAAACATGCGCATCGGCATTGATTTAGTTTAGCAAACCTTAAGATGGAGAGAACTAAGACGGGCTTGAAAATCGTCATGGGCAACCAAACGAGCCATCAGCATCACAATCGCAACAACCAGGACGTAACCATCTCACGGATCGCCTATGTCCATCAGAGACCTTGACCGAATGAGTGAGAGGCACAGGGCACAGATCGAGGAGGTCAATTGAAAAGTCACCTGCTGGTCAATCCCAAATTGACGATCAAATCTACGGACTGTAATAACGCAGTTTGGTGATGAAAAGTTAGCAAACCAATTACGAAACTCGGAGAACTAGTGAAATCCGGAACAATGTATGCTCTACGATGATTGATGGACCAATGATGCACACAGTGGGTAGCAAAGGGAGATAGTTGGTCGATGCATAAAATGGGTTTCAGCAACACAAGTCCTGTTGATACCATGGGAAAATAGCGGTCAGGTGGGAAGGGGATTTGGTAATGACATCATGCTACACGAGTTCGCTATCACATACCAGTGAACCAATGGAAGATAATGTTGCATTCTACCGGATTACAAAAGCGTGATACATGTAATGCACAGATGCTAATACGCTTGCCTGGCATATTACTTTTTCGGATGATGTCAGGTACAGATCACTCAAAAAGCAAGCCAAGTTTGATGTGGGCGATTAATCTGCATGACAACTGCTGAAAGGTATCTGAACGTATAATCAGACACCACTCCGCGAGTGTTAACTGGAAGTATTGATACAGGTCAGCATAATAATTCCCTTAGTGAATACAACGGGCGCATAAATTCACAATGGGTCTAAATGTCCAGGATAATGACCAGTAACAGAAAGACATCGAATAGAGGCACAATTGTTTTGTCAAATGTGGAGTGCTGGAGTAACAATCGTCGTAATGACGCTGTAAATTCCGAGATCCCCATTCCGAGTGACCTGATGTTCGGCCGGCTATTCCACAGCCAAAGACCTTAGAGCCAAATCCGAAATCATCCTGATTAATTGAGACGAACAACAACTTCCTTTTAAACGGGGAACCCACAATCAAGTTTGTAAAGGAGATAAGGAAAGGGAATCGCTTCACGGAGATGTGCATCTCAATCGATTGCATTGGATGTGAGTTGCTTGCGCTTGCGATTCTGTGTATGCGGACGTGTGCACGGCTCTTACATTTGGCATTAAAGATCCAATTAGAGGAAAAGGGTTTTCAGATGCACCGACGTAGTGTTTGATAACGATGGAGAACATTCTTACATTCGCCATGTTCAACTGTTGATATCCTTCCTTTGTTTTGCACTATATCGCGTAGGTTTGAGCAGTGAGTTTAACAACCGTTGGAACTGGTGTTTTTCTAAAAGCCATAGAGAACTATCGCCTTTTTATGTGCGACAGTACTATATTCCATGATACAGATGGTCTGTGCCATGACAGGACAGACATGGAGCTATCCAAGCTCTACATGTTCGGAAAGTTAAGGAAGTGTTGAGAAACCCGCTGGTTATCTTCTGTTTGCGGTACATATGAGAAGTTACCCAGGTGCTGTGAACAAAATAGCCAGGGAGTAGTAATGGACCATGGCGAAGCCCAGACTCCGTAGTGAACGTTAGTTCCTATTCAATGAAGGACCAGTGGTTTGGGAATTCCTTCAAACCCCTTCAACTAGCCGCAAAGGGTTACACATGTAGCTCTAGTAAACTTGCCGTGAGCAACATCATCATCATTATACACGTTAGTTGCAGGTGGAAAACACCTCAGCCATTGTGCCGCAATACAGGGGACAACATGAAGAAAAATATACGATGGCACGTCTGCTGAGTCCCCAGTAACGGATGGACATCGTTCCGGAGAGCTAACAGCTGGCTATCGTGCCGTAAAAGGTTATATTATGCTTAGCGAATGAGATAGTAATTGAAGGGGAGGCTAAGCAGGAGGGGATTGACAAAGGAACTCAAAACGCAAACGCCATGGGGCCGGCTCCTAGCCATATCAGCGAGTGTTTCCAACCAAACGTGTTCATCGACCTGAGGAGCCAAACCAGGCAGTCGGGATGCACCAAGCAACAGTAGCAGCAGACTAATATCATTTTCGCAATACTCTTCATATATAAGATAGTCAGTGCGGGGAATATTTGTGATCGCGTGGTAAGACCCAGTAATTGTGTGCACAGCTTCAACAGAAAAATGAACTGAAAGATTGTGGAGGCACAATGCCATGGTCTTAAGTATTTGGTCAACCGTATACTTGCTCTCTAAACAAACATGTTCATATGTAGACGCAATGCTATCTCCAAAGCCTCCTTCTCAAGTGAAATGGTGAAAACCAAGATGACATCTAAGCTTAGTAGTGTGTCAGCTGTACGCCGTAATGGCGCTTCGCTGTCGCGCGACTACCACCAGTCGCGCGCAGGCTGAGTATACCG